GGGGGGGGGGGGGGATCACGTCTGATGAGCCACCGGGGTCGCAAAATCCTGTCGCACATCTTGGATCGAGTCTCATCGCTCACTGCGCCGCAGCACGGGGAAGGGCTTTGAGAGTGAGCACGCTAAATAGCGGCAAGAAGTGCAGGGATGGGCAACGCTGCGGGGTTACAAATGGCGCATCACTCCGACCGCTCCGATCGTTGGCACCAGTGCTGTTTGCCAACGGCGCCTTAGCGCGCCGCAGTATGAAAGGGGACCCGGGTTGTGCATGGGGCTACTGCCCGCAGGTACACTTGATCCCTATTACCTGCAGCATTCTCACAAACCTTGCGCTATTCTTATTACCTGCGGCATGCTCGTAACCTTAGGCTGTTCTGTAGTCGTAAGCACACAGATTTGTGACACCCTGGTACGGTTGGCCACGATCACTAGGCGGTAGTGAGGAAAGGAGAAATGCACATATGTACCGCCATTTCGGTGCGTGAAAAGAACGCAAGTATTGATTTTCTGAGATTCTTAGGCTTTGTATCAGCACATCTTGTACTAGCACGTCTGGTGCCGCCTTGAAGACAATCGGTGAAGAGTGGGATCAAGACGTGTTCGCAACTGCCTGTTTCAAGGGGTAGCAGCCAAGCGATTTCGACAGCTGGCTCTTGTTCTCATTCTTCAATCCACAATACAGAAAGAAAACAACCTTCCAGCCGGAGGAAGCTGGCGATGAGGACTAACATTAGTAGAGGATACCAGGGAAAGGCGTCGTGCGTGCTGACACACTCAGGTTTGCTTCTGGAGCTGGAGAATGGAAGGTCGCAGCAGCCTCTGAAAACAGTCAAAATTCTCCGCCAGAACCAAGCGGACTCCAACAATTGTCACAGCCGTGCTCACCGCACGGACAGTCAATCCCTGAACGGAGGTTTGACAACCGCAGTGCAGTAGATTGGGATCAGTGGCGGCGAGCACAAGTAGCACAAGACGCTGGGTGCCGGTCTAATCTGTGCAAACTTGCGGAGATTATAGGTCGCTACTATGACCCTGATGTCATCACCACAGAAGCAGATTCGAGCGCGCCACCCCCGCCAGCGTGTCGTCTAGTGATCTTAGTACTATGCACCGGGTTACTGGCAATACCGACCTGATTTGAGCGCCTGCCGTTTTGGCTCCTTTGACTTGAATTTAGAATGTGGTGAATTTTTATCGTGATTTCAAAGGAGGCATGTGGAGGTAGGTAGGCGCGTGAACGTACGTTTGGAGCAGCCTCTGCAGCCGCCCTATGCGAGAATCAACAATTTCTGTTTTCGCAATGCCTTCCGACTGGTCTTGTGTGTCTGTTGTGCATTTTTTGGTGCTCTTGCGTTTGTCTTCAAGAGAAGTCAACATCAAAATTCTTTGTCTGCCATCCCTCAAAGGCGAAGTACTAAAGGGCTGCTGCTGCAGTATCGCACGTGTGTTGTCATTTTGGTGACCACTGCTGTGCGGTCAAGCTTTAAGCTTCATGCCACGCACGAAACAACAAGCAAAAAGTTGGCTACTGTACGCGCACACGTACGCACAACCTTCCTAACGCATCGGATCTCTCGCCCCCAAAGGCTAGCAAAAAAAAATAAATATATATATATGCTGTAGTCGTTTTCATACAGTTCGGAAAGTACAGCATTGTACCATAGGTTGCAGAAGATACCACACCCCCCTTGAATGATACTCAAAGCTTCGTTACTCCACGACTAAGAGGGTGTTGAAACCAAAGGATACGTTGTCGGAAAGCTCTCGACGAGACGGTTCCAACACCGCCATTTTCGGCACCGCCATTACTTTTTCTGCCGAGTAACCAAGTGTTAACCAAGTGTTGACAGTCGGTCCGGGGGGTGTGATATCTTACGCAACCTACGAGGTGTGCGCACACCGTTGTTGAGCTGTTGATATACGGAGGTCGCCCCGGTGGTCTAGTGGGTAGCCTCGCAGCCTGCTAAGGGCCAGGTCATGGGTTCGAGTCCCGGCAGAGAGAGTTTTATTCTCACTAAATAAATCCTGGTCTAGGATGAAGGCGACGCGCTGCAAAGCTCGTTTGTTAGTAAACCATAATCGACTTCGTAAGTCGCGAGGGAAGGGATTGCTGTACCCTTCTCGCGATAAAAATCCCTCAGGCATGAACCGCAGGAGGGGCTCCAACCCCCCCCTCCTATGTGACCCCGGTTGGGTCGTCTAGCTAGTAGAAGTGGAGGATAGCGGCCAGAGGGGCAGACGACAGAGACCAATGATGGGAGGAAAAAAAAAAAAACGGACGACGTGGTGTGATAATATTTATGAAAATTTCTAGCCGGGTATCGAGCACGGCTAAGCCCTGGTTGCCCAAGAGTCGTAGATACACGTCTATGAGTAGTACAGAGAAAAGCCTCAACCACACCCCCCCCCGTGCGACGGGTTGTTGGAGGTTGAACGTTGAACACAAGATCAGATTGGCTCATGATATAACGGGACTGACAGCCTGTTCGCGAGTGTTTTCGAGTTTTTGCGCCGAACCAGCAGACACAGAAAATTCCACCAGCGACGCAGCCGCTTCACGACACGAAGGAATACTTCCTCCACTAGCGTACGCGGGCTTCACGTGGCCTGGGCGCTAAGGTGTGTACATGTGTACATACCTACCTGTGCAAGGTCGGGCAGCACATCTCTCTTCGCTGCGAGAACATGTTTCTTTCTCTCAAGGACATGTTCGCTCCTGCTGCCTAGCGCCGCATTCACGACGCGAGGAGGGGCCTGGAACGCTGTCGCGGAGGACAAAAGGGAGCACACTAAGCAGGCTAGGCGCTTTGGCATGCTGCCGCTCTCGGGATGACAACCGAGGTTGACTCAGCAACGCAGGCAGGACGAAGCACTGCAGGCTGCAACGCTGCAACCTGGGACATGGGATTCCCAGATTTCCAGATTTGGATGGGGGTGCGTTTTTTCTTGTGTGTGGCCCCCGTTAGCCCTTTTCCCGGCGTGGCAGATCTTGGATCTTGGGCACTGCTGTACTTTGTCCTCTCGTGGTCATGCATTTGTTTCGCATTTTTTTTTTCCTGTTGTTGCACACACCACCTGCCGCCATAGGCTGGTTTGATAGGTAGTCCCCCTGCGTTGTCATCTTTGAGCAATCCTCCCTCTTGCCCTAAGGTTCAAGACCGACACCATCGAGAACAAAGCGCACGTAGGTGAAGAGGAGTGTTGCTGTATGGCACAGACACAGTCGGTCTAGATTAAGATGGGGGACGTCAGGAGGTATACCCTCTTAGGACGTACCCCATCGGGACTTAGCTATCTGCGTGCCCCCAGGTTGAGGGCAATCCGCCTCACCTCAGACCTGTAGCAGACCCGCTTCTGCAATAACAAGCAACCTTCCCATCTCAACGTGCTCGTGGACAAGAGTGTCTACGGCAGAATCTACATCTACTACACCTAGGAGGCAAGCCACCGTCGGGCGGGCATCCCTTTAAACTTGGGCGTCAGCTTGGCAGGCACGGTACGAGAGAATTGGACGCGATTCTTCACATTTCGTGCGCCGAGGCACGCTTTGCTCACGACCACCACGTTGCTTGTTGTTAGGTCTCACCACCCACGAGAATTTAGACTTCGCCCTTATTGGCGATTACCTGCGGGATGCCGGCTCATGATGCTTTCGCTCGTCGCTCACGAGACTGGGACCTTGCTAGTGATACGCGCATAGGAGGGCGCCGCGGTGATTCTCCCGATTTTTCTTACATGAAATGCCCATCACGAGCCATTTTGTCTGCTTCGGGAGTGCATGAAGTTCTTTCTGTGGCGGATACGTTGTGGCGGCAGCGGCCTGAGCTGCAACCCCTGTTTAGTGGGGCTCGAGATGACAGCATGCTCCCCGCTTCTACTACTGCTCCTACTGCTTTTGTGCCGGCTTACCGGCCTGCGTCCGCGGACTTCCCCGTGGTGCTCTCTGACTTGACGCCACGTATTTCAACATGTCGAATTTTATGTGTACACAAGTTGGGCGTTCGCCACACCACCGATCTGCCCTTCATTTTTCGAGAACAACTCACTTTTTTTTTTGGGCCATCGGCTATGCATGTAAAAGACCTCGAGTTGGAGCCTTTGCTGCCGCGCAAACCCACTGCGGTCTTTCCCCGCACCTCAGCGCCTGTTGCGGCAAAACGTCGTGCTGCGCTGCGCGAGTTTTGGACAGACAAACTAGTCTCCTGGTATAACACGGGCCCTTTTGTGCTAGCTTCTACTGCTGTTGGTACATGGCATGAAGTGCTTCTGGATGCTTGTTATGATCGATTGGATCCGCTTCAACCACGGGTACATCAAGCTTTTCTGGCCGGGCGTATGCTCTCTTGCGGATATCTTCGCTTTCCGTTTGGACCCAGGCAGGACCCTCCGGCCGTTGCACCCACTTTTACCGCGTCTTCTGTCCCTGGCTCTGCTGTCCCCGGCTCTGCTGTTGCCCCCACCGCCGTGGCCCCCGCCATTGCTGTTTCTACTCGTGATCGGGAATACCCCGGTTCTCTCGCCTTTCTTTCAGAAGCAGAAATGTCGGAGAAGTCGGAGGAACTGATGGATTTTGAAGAAGAGGAGGTGGAGAACGCGTCCCAGTCTTCACAGGTGGGGGACGCATACCAGTCTTCCCCGGACCGTCGTGAAGTCTATGGACAGGGCCTTCTTTGCGACATCGAGGCGGCCTGTCCCATGGCTCTGGCTGCAGCTTACCGCTCGGGCAGCATCACCCTCCGGGACATTGTGGACGCGGCCCGCCTTTCCTCCCCTCACCCCCTTGCCGTCCGCACTGTTGACTTTTACCTAGACGAGGAGGAGTTCGTTGAGATGTCTAACGATGAAGCCGACGCGTGGACACAACTCCAGACCATCTTCAACCGGCGGCTGCAGGCTGAGCTCGACAAGGCGGCGAAGGACGCGGAGCAACGGGCCCGCTCAGAGGAGGCCGCTCAGAGGGCTCGGGAGCTAACAGCTCAGCGGGAGAGGGAGGAAGAAGCTGCGCGGGCCGTGCAACGGGAGCGGGAGCGCGAGGAAGCGGAGAGGCGCGCGATAGAACAGCGGCGAGCGGCCAGGAGGCAACT